ACGAGCTTGACATCAATGCAGGGAGTCACAAAGGGCGTAGCAAATGTGTATGTCTGATTGTCAATAATTCATCGGAAGCTTATCGTACAGTCAGACAGCTGTCATGAGGCTGCTGCATGCATATTTCAAAACAATCTAATGCACTTTAGATGGAGATGAATGCAGCACTGTGGTTGCAGGGATGGTTCTTATTCTTACTGAGATCATTCTGACCTAAAGCCTTTATGCTCTCATTTTGTTTCTACTTTTACTTGTAATTATCTGCCTTTGTTTTTGTTTTACTATACTTCACTTTAATTCCAGTCATTATTGTAATGCAAGGAATTATTATTATTGTCCCCCTTCCAAGTAAATCATATGTATTAAGGGCTTGAAAACTGGCAAACATTTTACAGCTGATATGGGTCTCACACGTGGGTGTAGCAAAATGGCCCAACAGTGCCCCCAAATTTCAATGAAGCAGCCCCCACCATTCGTTTCATCTAGATTTGCATTTGGGATGCATATGTATCATCTCAAGACACACAAAAAAGCCTTTCAGAGCCATAGCCTAAACCCAACAGGAAGTCAGCCATTTGGATTTTCCTGTGCACTGTTACGGCTTACAGGCTCCGTACTGTAACTCCTCCGAGAGGATTAATTGGATCAACTTCAAATTTGGGCTGTGCAATCAAAATACCTTCACAATGAAAAGTTTGAGATTTCGTTGGAGCATTTGGATGTTTTGCCATTAAACAGGAAGTTGTTCCAATATGAGTGCACGTGGTGTGGTCCATACTGGATGTACTGGAACAAGATATTTGTTTTTGTTTTTTACAATTAGTGGCTGTTCTCTAGCGCCTTAGCGTATCTTATGTTTTACAGGAGTGTTTCTCTATCTGTTTGTAGCTCTTGTTTTTGACAGTATTTCAAATGAAAAGTTTTTATCTCTTGTCTGGGTCATACTGACAATTTGTTTAACTTTGTATGTGTGATTCAGTGAGTTTGAAGTCAAAAGTTTCATTTTAGCTTTTCGCTAAACTACTTTGATGTGAAATGTGTGTGTGTGTGTGTGTGTGTGTGTGTGTGTCATCCAGAACACAGTTTTTTACACAAAGAAAACAGGCAGGCAGTAGAGGAAAAGCAGAGCCTGAGTCATCCTTCCTTCCTTTGTCTCTATTTAAAGGTCTTCATCACTCCTCATCAGCTGATTGTTCACTCCTGTCCCTGGTGGAAGAGTTCAGGATATGTCTTGCTTCTTTAAAAAATATTTACATTTATTACAACTTATACTTATACTAAAACTTATTTTTGTAGTTTCAAGGTGTGTTTTATCCGCAAAATCACAAAATTGTACTCACCAAATTAATTACTGAGATGTACAGTATGTACAGTGACTCCACTATGAACTCACTTCACTATTTTATGATATTTTGCCTCTAAACCATTATCGATTATAAAGATAATCATTAGTGGCAGCTTATTAGCAACTTGTGCGTTTACTTCTAAAGTGGTCCCAGCAAATTGGCTTGTGGACACTCAAAATGAAGCCATTTCTACTTGTGACCTCATGACAAGAGTTCAACTGAATACTTGTTTTCTTCCAGGATCGTTTCATTTTAAGGATTTAAGTCAATTTTTTTTAAAGGATCCCAGCTGTCGCTTCATAACTATACCCATGTTTATTATTGTAACCATGACGATGAAAGTCCCCTAACCTCAATAAATTTGTAATTATTACCCAAACCACACGGTTACACACGGCTCTAACGTTAACTAAATACTTATTTTAACCCAAACCATGATCTTTCCCTAAGCCTAACCACGTTGTTTTTGACCAATCCGACCATGTCAGATCATAAATTAGATTTTTTTTCAGCAGTGATTTGAACAGGTTTTGGAAGGCACAGACAAATAATATTGTCCTGCCAAAAGGGGGCATCAGATCAGAAGACTCTTCTGTGTGTGCCCTTCAAACAGACAACCTAAGACTTGTATTTGTTTTGTATACAAATGAGTGTCAGTGAGTGGTGCAAAACTCTTCTTGGACAGAAATGTGTCTTTTTTTGATTGACTTTAGGAAGAAGCTTCCCCATATTTATGGCTAGGGTGTTGAAGTTGTTCAGTAATATAAGTATCTGGGAACTATTATTGATAACAAGTTAACTTTTGAACCAAATACTGATGCTCTTTGTGCAAAGACCCATCAGCATGCATTTTTATGAGAGGCTAAGGGGTTTTAATGATATGAAAACGTTTAATTCTTGTTTCATTGAGTGTGTTCTAACCTTCTCTTTTACCTGCTGGTTTGGGTCAGTCTTTAATACATGAATCTGAATGACCTTTCCCAAATATACAAAGGCAGAATCAGAATGAAGGACCAGTCAATCCTGAGCCTTGTTCAGTGAGTTCAGGCTGCTCCCATCTTGTTGTAGATGGAACCTAACAAAGTGCTAGACCAATAGATTTAAAAACTGAATTGTCCCTGCGGCTATCAGCCTTCAAAACAGCATCGAGTTAATGGTTTGTGTTGTTTAGCGGGTTGATTGTACTGCTGGCTGTGCAACAAATGGCCCCCATGGAATAATAAAGCCTTACCGTACCTTGTTGCTAACATTGGATGGGGAATAAAGACTTAAAAACCTTGACAGTGTTGATTTTGTAGTTTTCCATATGGTAGCTCCTGACCAGCCTGATTGACTGCCTGTCCGCCGACTGACTGTTTGACTGACAGACTGACTGACTGCCTGTCTCGCTATCTGTCTGGATGGAGATTACTAATAAGAGCTGTTATAGGATGTAACAGAACAGCTCGCTGACTGACATGTTCATTTGACTTTGACTCCTCTTCCCTGATAAAATCCTATTTAAGTCAAGGGGATGGTTGGTAACTCTGTGTGTGTGTTTTAAGAAGTTAGTATCTTGAAGGCAAGGTCAGACCTCCCCCCATTTATCCCATGTGTCTCAACCTCCCTCAGTGTCTCTTTTTCTCTTGTCAAACTGAAACATTTGCCAGTCTTTTCTTTCTCTCTGCGGGGTAGTCAGATCCCCTACCAGAGATGCAAATTATTGCCATGTGTTCTGCCTTCACGCTAGCAGAAACACACACACACACACTGTGCTGACATTGTCACTGATGACGTCTGTGCCCACAGTCGGTTTCTTGATCCAAGCGAGTTAGTCACATGTATGTGTGTTTAAGAAGGATTTGTCAAGTCAGCCGCGCAAACAGCTTTTTCCGTGTTCGACAAATCCGCTGCAGGTTTAGCGTCACTCGGGTCTGTTTCATGCATCTCTCACTGCCTGAGTCAGGCGACGCTCTTCACTCTGATTTTCTCTGAATTTTGAAAATTCTTTTTACTTAGTCCTCCTACAGATCAGAGAAATCCTGAAATTGTTCCACAGCTTGTTCCACAGCTCGCCAGACATTGTCTACAGTTTGTCACAACATCTCTAAGCACACTTTGGCCTTCTGAGTGTGAATTAAAAAAAAGAAGAAGGAGTATTTAGCATTTTTGAGAGTTTAATTTATAAAAAAATAATACACAGACTGTACTAATTCTAGTTACAGACAAAACTAACAGTTGCCTGGAACACATGGAACATGGACAAATGAAATAACACAAACTATGACTAAGAATTTGTGTATAAAGGCTTCAGATGTTCATCTTATTCTGTCCACCTGTGTCAGGGAGAAAAAAAGAATGTCACATTAAGTGAAAAATATGTAATGTGGAAATAAATAATAAGAAAGTAAAATAAGAGGTCACTTAATTGCAGAACATTAGTACTATACTACTGAAAAGCATAGAATGTCTGTTGGTCAGTGCATTTGCCATCACTATTAAGACATGTACAGCATCATTCAACTTCTTTTCTTTTAATCTTTAGACTTCACACACTTTTGCATTTTTATATATTTTTTCTCTTATAAGAGCCGAATTGACTGCACCTCCGTCTCTTTCATCCACCTGCCATTACCAGTTTGATAGACGAGTAGTTAACGTGCACATTACAAACTGATTTACCCACATATCACATATCATATGCCTTCAAAGAATATGCCTCTGGTACTTCTATTAGCTCTTTAACTCTAATTCCCATGATACCTCTCTCTTTGGCTTTCTGCTTTCCTCTAAAATTGTTGCCTTATTTCACACAGAAAGTATTTTTCAGTGACTTATAATATTTGTTTTCTTCACTTGAAATACAGGTTGGGTGGGATTAAATGCACTAAGACAATGCAAATTAAAAGCAAGCTGACATTCATTAACTTCCCGGTGATTTCCCAAACTTTTCTGGCTGTCTTTCCCAGAACTTTCTTTGTAAATATAGCAAACTCCTCCCGTCTGGTATTCCCTGGTGGTTAAAACAAAGCGCCAAGATTCATTATGAAAGAGCTATTGGATTCGGATTTTGCTTTGTGCTGCATGCAAATCTGCTGATGGTACCTTAGGTAGGCTTGATTTATCACTTCACACGGGCAGATTGGTCAGCAGGTTTTGAGGTGGTTTGTCGCACTGTGAAAGGTGAATTAAGTGCATCTGCAGTACTTTGAGCTCCAAATTTATGCACATACACTCACCCATACACCCAAACTGTACCATCTGGTCTTGGTTGACTGGAGAGAATGACTAAGCATAATGTGATCAGTCAAACAGCTTTCTCTCTGACTGCTTTGTGTTATGATGTCTTAGATTGCAGCTTTTTGTGCGTTTCTGTCAGCCTTGTTGTTGCTTTCTCATTTGTTTCCAATAACTCAGCTGGTAACTGTTTTATCTGCAGATAAAACACAGATGGAATTACATTTCTTTTCCATATGTTTATACAGTTCTAGCCTTAATTCGATCTAGCTTTAATATCTTAGACATACTTTGAAACATCGTTCTTCGAGGTTTTTGGGTCAACCTGCATTTACAGTAGCGATGAATGTGCTTGATTCTATGCTGTGACTTTCCGGGCTTCAGTATTGCATATAAAAGAATATGGAAAGTTAATGTCTCTCTGTGTTTCTCTGGCAGGTGACATTACACAGAAGGGCTATGAGAAGAAGCGGTCCAAGCTGATTGGAGCCTTTTTCCCACCTGCACCAGGTAAAACTGGCTTTTACTTGCTTCCTACCTACATTTTCATTTGGCCGAATTTTTATCAGTCAGTTCATGAAAAAATGTGTCGGCATGTGCTATCAGAGCAATATATAAAAATATAAAAAAATTACACCAAATAATAAATGAGAAAATGTGAAAAAGTTGCTAGTAAATGATAAACAAAGTCAGAATAGTCACATAAAAGGCAAATGAAAATGCTCAGTCACTTAGTTGTTTTGCCACATTACACGGCGAAATTTCTGTCTTAACAACTCACAAATCTTTTTACCACTGAAGTGTCACAATCATGTATGACAATGAGTTTGACATCCCAAACGGGGTCATGACCCTCTCACAGTGGAGTTTCAGCTATGTGTGTTTTAATCCTAACAGGCCTATGGCAAAGTGAAGAGCTCATAGCTGAAATGGGTGTGCATAATGTTTTTGTACATGCTGGACTCTCACTATAAAGAAAACTTGATTTCCAAGAATACCCATTTATTTATTTAGATGTTTTTGTCCAAGACTTCCAAGATGCACGGTTAGGGTTCATTGTTTTACTAAAAGGAAACTGGAACGTTTGATGTCATACATTTAATAAATCATCACCAGTTGAGTTGTTTTTGGTAACACACCACTGGAGGATGTTATTGAGTCCGACCACATATGATCTAAAAGTCTAGTTTGCAAGTTGCGGAGAGTGGCTGACACACTGCCTCAGACTGACTGCTGAGGGTGGGACTGGAGTGTCACTGGAGACCAGCAGACACACTGGCACTGCCAAAGCTATAACTGGAATATACTTTGTGTATGTGTGTGTGTGTGTGTGTGTGTGTCTTCGTAGGGTGGGGGATGTCAGGAAGTACATTATGGGAGGGAATGAGGGGTGTGGGATGGAGAAAATGTGTGGTATTCACATCCAGGCCCAGTGGGGGGTCGTCCCTAGTTCATTATGGGGGACCGGATGACACACTGACCTTATACTGTTCATTCCTTTCAGTCCTGTATGCGCTTTTATCAGTAATGCACATTAGTGCGCATATGCATACACACAATACCCCCCTTTATCTTAACCCCCCCCCCACACACACACACACACACCGAGCAGCACAATACTCCCTTTGTCTATATCAGACACTTACACACACACACACACACACACACACACACACACACACACACACACACATACACATACACATACACCCTAGTAACAGTTTCCTTCCCTGTGATGTATTTAAGGCCCGTTAATCTGCACTGCCTGGTACACAGTCAGCCTGATATCGTTTGATTAAAGCATTTTACAGTGTTCACTGTAATGGATTTTCCCTCAGTTACCCAGATTTACACAATCTCACCTTATAGATTAGGCTTAGTTTACTCAGAGGGGACGTGATATCCAGCACTCTCAATTGCATTCAATTTTAGATAAAATGATTTTCACTTGTTGCAATTATTTACTAGTAAACTAGGTGTTTTTAGTCATAGACAAAAAGAACATGAATGTAGTAGGGAGATGCTGAAACTCAAAACTAAAATTCAGCCCTGGCACTGTAGCCACGCAAGCACACCTTACCACGTATCCCCACGAACACAAATTTACTACTTAGGCTACATTTGTTTACAGATGGTGAAATAATATAAGCAGTAGGCCGACTGTATGTAACAGCAAGTGCGTCACTTTGTGTTGAAAAGAGGTGACATAAGGTCTGAAAATAGGGGTGTGATGAAAGACTTTGGTCACAAGAACAAGACGAGAAGATATTTTAACACTATTTTGAATAAGTATTTGATGATAAAATGTATGAGTGGGGGGGTCTGGGGGTCCTACAGATTTGTAACAGTTTATGTTTGTGACTGGCACACAATGCTCAATAGTTTTTTAAGAGCACAAAACAAATTTGCACATGCAGTTCAAACAATGGATGTCCATCTGAGTATGTTGTAGAGTCTGTGCTCTCTGTCTGTTTGTCTGCTGTTACTGTCTTTCTCTCCTGCAGAGTCAATTCCAACGCGAACATTTTTGTGCGACTGTTTTCTTCCTACCTCTACCACCCTCCTCCCTGTCTCTGCTAGGCCTACAGCAGCATCCTTCCTCCCAGCACTAGCCTACAAGAAGACCAGGGCTCTCTGGCTGCACCGATTCCAGCAACATCCATGAACACAGTAGCCTATAGAACATTGCAGAAAATAGTTTTCTCACACACTGCTCTCAACATTGGAATACACATGAATAAAAATATTACTCACTAGCCTGCTTAATTCTGCTCTCCTTGCCTTCACTTCTAATATTTCCACACAACCACGGAACATACACCTCTGCTGCAAACACAGCGGCTCGCCCTACCTCTTTCTTTTTCTCTTTGTCGGCCCTCTTGACTTTCTCCATCAGCAGTGGGCTGTTTTATGAAGTGGCCGAAATGACCCGCGATAGCGTTTTCACCAGCGGGTGTGTGGAGCAGGCTTGTTAATGAGGAAGCCAATCAAAGCCGAAACCGACATTGCAGTTGCACCTGCACCAAAGTGTTCTCTGTTGCTTTACCTCGTCCATGCTTGTAAAATATCCACCTTCTGAGTCTTATAACGTAATGGATGATCATTTCTCTCAGTGTTTCTCTGCAAAATGCTTAAATGGGTCGCCAAATATTTTGGGCGGCCCTTAATGTACCTGAGCGGCCGCCCAAGTAAAGCTGATGTGTGGGAAACACTGATATTAATATCAATCTGACAGGCCCACCCCGAAACAAATAGTCCGGCCCCTCTGGCATATGCCTGAACACCAGTGACTGACTTACCTTTGGAAGGAACTGGGTACACAAAATCTAAATTTTGGGAAAAGGTGAAGGAAGCCTTAGTGGGAAAGGCAAACATAACCAAAACATTCTTCTCTTAAAAGCACACAGTGCCTACCCAATGAGACAAGGATTCTTGATATCCATCTAGATGCACATAAGGTCTAATATGTTCTCTAAAAATTTTTTTTCATGTTCTGGAATGAATCTACTATTATTTCCACTATTCCCATAACTCCTAAAACCAGAATAGTCAAACTTTACAAGAACCAAGAACAGACTTCCTTTTCAAAGCTGCTCCTTTTTCTGGAATGAAACAAAGCCTGCAAAGCCCCTCCCTCTCTTACATGTTCAGTTGAAGTGCAACTCCTTCAGTCATTTCTCATCTTCCAGTCAACAGACACCTGCACTTGTCAGAAAGCAACATGGCACAAGGGATTCAACTTCAACAAGCAAAACTCAGCTGCTCAATCTGTCTGGATCTACTGAAGGATCCGGTGACTACTCCCTGTGGACACAGCTACTGCATGAACTGTATTAAAACCCACTGGGATGAAGAGGAGGAGAAGAAAATCCACAGCTGTCCTCAGTGTAGGCAGACCTTCACACCGAGGCCTGTCCTGCTGAAAAACACCATGTTAGCAGTTTTAGTGGAGGAACTGAAGAAGACTGGACTCCAAGCTGCTCCTGCTGATCACTGCTATGCTGGACCTGAAGATGTGGCCTGTGATGTCTGCACTGGGAGAAAACTGAAAGCCCTCAAGTCCTGTCTGTTCTGTCTGGCTTCTTACTGTGAGAAACACCTCCAACATCACTATGTTGTAGCTCCCTTAAGGAAACACAAGCTGGTGGAAGCATCTGCAAAGCTCCAGGAGAACATCTGCTCTCGTCATCAAGAGGTGATGAAGATGTTCTGTCGCACTGATCAGCAGAGTATCTGTTATCTCTGCTCTGTGGATGAACATAAAGGCCACGACACAGTCTCAGCTGCAGCAGAAAGGACTGAGAGGCAGAGACAGCTCGAGGTGAGTCGACAAAACATCCAGCAGAGAATCCAGGACAGAGAGAAAGATGTGAAGGTGCTTCAGCAGGAGGTGGAGGCTATCAATGGCTCTGCTGATGAAGCAGTGGAGGACAGTGAGAAGATCTTCACCGAGCTGATCCGTCTCATGGAGAAAAGACGCTCCGATGTGAAGCAGCAGGTCAGATCCCAGCAGGAAACTGAAGTGAGTCGAGTCAAAGAGCTTCAGGAGAAGCTGGAGCAGGAGATCACTGAGCTGAAGAGGAAAGATGCTGAGCTGGAGAAGCTGTCACACACAGAGGATCATGCTCGTTTTCTATTATGTTACCTCACACTGTCACATCTCAGTGAATCTAAGGACCCACCCAGTGTCAGAGTCCGCCGTCTGCGGTACTTTGAGAAGGTTGCAGGGGCTCTTTTAGATGCCAGAGACAGACTACAGGAGGTTCTTGGTGAAGAATATGAAAACATCTCAGTGACAGTGACTGAAGCTGATGTTTTACCGTTAAATCTGCAAGCAGAGCCCAAGACAAGAACTAATTTCTTACAGTATGCATGCCAAATCACACTGGATCCAAACACTGCAAATTCATATCTGTCAATATCTAAGGAGGGCAGAAATGCAGCATTCACAAGAGAAGAACAGAAGTATTCCTTTCATCCAGAAAGATTTGCTTATTCCTGGCAGGTACTGAGTAGAGAGAGTCTGACTGGACGTTGCTACTGGGAGGTGGAGAGGAGTGGAAGAGGAGTTTTAGTTGCAGTTGCATACAAGGATATCAGCAGAGCAGGGGACTTCAGCTGGGTTTTGTCCAAAATGTGTGTTCTGGGCTTTTACAGTAGTTTCACAGCAACAACAACAAACGGGCCAAAAAAAAAAAGCCCATATAGCTATTAAGATATTGATGAACATTTTGTTTGTACTGATACTCAGCCTTATGCAAGCATGACTGTGTAGACTAACAAATGGCCAAACCTAGGAATGAGTTACCTGTCAGTCCCACTGATGACATGCTTGTAATGCTTGGTTTGTTTGTGTGTGAAATAAGTGTTGCGTGTAAATGACTCAAATGAGATCCACCAATCTCTTAGACTGTTCAGCATTAATGTACTTTCCCTCTGAGAACACTTGCACACTGTTCATCTCTTATTCAGAACCAAGTGTGAGCCATGGCATGTGAACTTTTTTAATGATTTATTCAGGCCTTTGTTAGCTTTTCTGTCTTTGATCTAGGAACACACTAGAAACCTTAAATTATACACCAAGAACAGTGGCTCTGGAGATTTTGTTTCATGTTTTAAAATGATATTTATACTGTTGGGAAAACTTTTAAGGAACTGCAAGATTGAGATGAAGATTTTTACTTTTTTTAGTACCATCTCTAACCTATTTGTTAAGATGAATGGTTTATGAAGAGCTGGTTATGTGAATATGATTACATCCTGTACTGTGGATATGTATTATATATTATATGTGCAGTATATTTTCATATTACTTTTCAAAATATATTCCCTAATTACTGTATAGATTTTATATTTTTGTATTGTATTTTTAGCATCTTATTTGTTTTTTGTAGCAATAAATTCCTTCCTATTTGTGTTGAATAGGGTGTGTTGTCTGAAGCATGAGTGTAGTAACACATTCTGTGTTTGGTTGCTGTTACATTTTAGGGTAGTTGGGGTGCTCTTGGTTGGTGTCAGTGTTGTCCTCTTCATCCGTCTCAGTTCTGTATTGAATTTAGTGTCTTTCTACAGGCAGTGGTTGACAGGAGGGGAATGGAAGAGTCCTGCATTGATTTCCTTTAAGGTTTCACTGTATGCCTGTGACATCTTATCACATCTGGGTCAAATAGTGTTTAGAGTTTTTGTTGTAAGAAGTGTCAGATGAATGGGGGGTAACTAGGGAATTCCAGTAATGTCAAATGCATTGATTTATTTCTTGAATATCAGCTACCTATTTGAATTTTTTTGTATTATACCTGCAGGTTTAAATCAAGTGTACTTTTATGAAGGATTTTTGCACGTAGACATTGCGGAGTAAACGTGGTTTTCTAGAGCAGTCTGAGAGGGATATAATCATGAGACGATAGGAAAAAAAATGCGTGTGATGGGGGGTGAAAAAAGCTTTAAGTTTGTTGAATAATTTCACTTACTGGCTGACTTTTTTTATCTAAACACATCTGTTAAAATGCTTTTCTTCCATAATGATAATGCACAATTGATGAAAACTTCTTCCTTGTCGTTCTTTTTATTGACAGGTCTAGAGCAGAAGTACTGATTTGCAAACACTTGATTAAGGACATGTTTACGTCCTTCTGTGGCTAACTGTGGAAGTGGAAATCAGGCTAAGTCACATATGTCCAGTTTCACAATAATTGAGATTTATAACAGAATCATGATTTTTGTGAAATTATTTAGCTTTTAAAGCTGAAGAGCAATTAAACTCAACATGAGAGTGTCAGAGCTTTGTAGCACCCTTCATTGTAAAAATCTGACCATGTCCAATTCTGCTCATTTTGTAGAAGGCTTGGACACAGTGATGCTTTAAACTAAAAGCTAATGTCAGCATGCTAACATGTTGACAAAGACAATGTTAACATGATCATATTAAACAGGTACTGTATAATGTTTATGTTCACCGTCATACTTGAGGATGTTAGCGTGTTAACATTTGCAAATGAGCAATAAACGCAGTACAGCTGAGGGTGATGGGAATGTCATTAGTTTTGCTAGTATTTTGCCATAAAGTGGACAAAGTAAAAATTTGACCTGATGATGGCACTACCTCAAAACTCAGAGGATCACCAAAGTAAATAGGATTTTTCTTCTTGGAACCATAAACCTCTTTTTGTGCCAATTGATCCAGTAGATGTTGAGATAGTTCACAGGAAAATGAAAACTTTGACCTGCTGGTGGTGCTACAGGAAGTCAGGGAATCTCCAAAGTCAGTAGGATTTATCCTTTGCACACCGTGGTTATGTGTAGTAAATGTCCTGTCATTCCATGTAACAGCTGTTGAGATAATTCAGTCTCAGTATGAAAGACAAACTGAATGTAAATGTACCATAACATATTCCATAATTGATTTATTGTGGACTGTGAAAAAGATGCAGAGAAAAGAATGTGAGTAAGAAATGAGAGGGAAAGAAGAGCAAGCAGAGCTAGTCAGGAGGGGAAATCCATCCATCCATCCAGACTCCCCAGAGGAAATAGCAAAGCGAGGTATTTCCCAGACCTGTCATATAGTCCAGCGCTGGCTGGTAGTCGTTATATGGTCGGCTAATCAACTTTTAGCTTTTCTGGTGAGCAGCAGCGATACTCTGAGCCTCGCTGAGAGCTCTAATGAAGACAGATGAGGGTGGAAGTGTAAAGCTGAGATGGATGCTCATAGATCAGCAGCTCCGGAGCGGTCGTAGCTGTCGGTAACAGGGAGGTTGTAATCATCAGACTTATTGATTGGTGTGTAGGGAGGCTGTTTTCTCTGTTGGCGTGTCTGTGTTTTTGTGCAGGCATACGGGTGTTTGTATCTATCCCAGTTGCTGCATCTCATGTGGCGATAAAGACATGGATGAGCGAGTTTGGTGTGGAGGAACTTGACTGGCCCCCACAGAGTCCTGACCCCAACCCGATAGAAGACCTTTGGGATGAATCAGAGTGGAGACTGCGAGCCAGTCCTTCTTGTCCAACATCTGTGCCTGACCTTACAAATGCGCTTCATTCTTCCCATGAACACTCTCCTAAACCTTATGGACACCCTTCCCAGAAGAGTTGAAGCTGTTATAGCTGCAAAGGGTGGACCAACACCATATTAACCCCTACAGATTAAGTATGGGATGTCACTAACCTTCATGTACACGTAAAGGCAGGCGACCCAAAACTTTTGGCAATATAGTGTATATTAGCTTTAGCCTTATTTTTTTTAGTTTTGTGTTGGACATTGTTTTTCTGTGTACTATGTGCTTGTATTTGATGATCTGATTGGCGAGCTGCCCCTTGAATTGAATAGACACTGTAAAAAAACAAAAACAAAATCAAGTTTACAAATTGGTTCATAGCTGTCTCAGATATCTGGAAAATACATTGCAGTTATAAGATTGCAGTTGTTTTCAACACTAACTGAATTTCCTTGAAAGAAGTGGATTCTTAGACTGTGTGTGTGTGTGTGTCTGTGTGTGGGCTGGTTTGTGATCACTCTTTTTGCTGAGTCAGGCTGTTCGGTTTTATTGTGTCATAGATCAGGAGTTCAGACTCTGACACTATGGTCCTCTCCTCAGACAAAACTGAGCCGACTGCACCCCGACCCCAACTGTCAGTGGATTACCTGGAAAACTTCTCAGGCAGGCTCTGGAGTTATAAGGAGCTTCTTCTTTTATGGTTTCTGAGCAGATAGTTTCTTTTTGTTTTTTACTTACGATGACATCGGAGAGAAAGATCCTCAGCCAGGAATCTACAAATGTGTTTATCATGCGTTCAGATTTGACTGAGTTACTCCAAGTAAAGGTGGTTTAAAATACTTACACAATACACAATACTCATGAAATAAACAAAAATACAAAAGCACAACTTTTTGTTGGGTTATTCTATGGAATTGATTTTACATTGGAAAGATATGACAAGGCAGGGATTTCAATCTGAATGTTTCTGCTCCAGGAATGGATCCGCCCATGGGCCAGGAGAGGAGAACCCCGGTCACTCCGTCCTCGTCCTCCCGCTACCACCGCCGGCGGTCTTCTGGCTCCAGAGACGAACGTTACAGATCAGGTAAAAAGCAGGGTCATTATGGACATTGTGTCTTCATAATAATAATAATAACATTTTTATAGCGCTTTATGATAGATAATCAAACCGCTTCTTGGGGTGGGGACTCATCTCAACCACGACCAATGTGTAGCACCCACCATTTGCGCCAGAATGCTCCCCACACATCAGCTTGAGGTGGAGAGGGAGGGAAACCAATTACACTGCAGGATGGCCATCATGGTGGCATCTGTATGTGTGTCTCTGAAACAAAGACATGGCTTACTCCCACATTCGCGTCACACAGACCAGATGCATCAACATAAAACACAGAGGTGATGCTGGCAAAGAAATCTTTGCTAATCACTATGCTAATTAGCTTTCTTTAGTCATCTCATTAGCATTGTGGGTTATGTGTGATAACTTAACATTTTTTAATTTAAGTTCTCCTAATAAAGATTGTGATGTGATTATGTTTTGGAGGTCTTTGCTGAATACATTTGCATATCAATAAAGAAACAAGCTTTATAACTGGTATAACTCTTTAATACTCTTTAATACTAATACATGGAGTTCATTTTATCACCCATGTATTATATGTAGAGAAGCAGATAGAAATACTGTATTAACTAGCTTAAAGGGTCACCCAATCAACCCCATCAAAATTGGTTTACTCATCTTGTAAAGTTGTATCTAGTATGTGTTTGTATGGTGCCGCTACGAAGTTACATATATCCAAATATCTGCTAACTGGGATCTCGATGGGTTCAGGATAAAGGATGTGATGGCACGTCGTTTATGTCAATGCAGATCATGGATTGGCCTACACCCTGAAATTCTAGGGTGATGAAAATATTTCCCCACCCCACAGTAGAGGGGATGCTGGGAACAAACTGATGTGCAGGAAAAGCTATCTTATATATTAAATGCTGAACTATATGGATTAAATAAAGAAATAAATATTTGGTTTGGCTTCACGTTGAATCATTGCTCTGTGCTCCTGATCTCTTTCCAGATCTTGTCTTAATGGGTACTCTCAGTTCCTAGTATCAGAGACTGAAGAGAATTTAATTGAGTAGTATTGAGTCTGGGTTGGGTCCCATTCTTTCACTGTGGGTTTTGGGTCTGTGTGGTGTCAGTATGTCATATGTCTAACACCCGAGGATTTGTTTGCAGCTCTGGACACGTGGTGTGTCATAATAATCATCACAGTAGAGTTGCTTGCCCACACTTGGAAGAGGTTGTGGGGAACAAGGAACACAATGGGTTAACAGATAAAACTACATCTGCTGTTTGGTGCTCTTTCATGTAAAACAGCTGATTGTCCTCATTATAGCCTGATCGATACCGGATTGTTGTGGCCAAGATGGCTATTTGATAAAGATATGTTGGCCGATAGTATTTTCTTTTAATAGAAACTAGGGCTGGGCACGTTAACGCATTATTATCACGTTCATTAATTAATTAATTAATTATTTTATCGCACTTTCATGCAGTTTATATTATTATTATTTTGAAAGTTCACTGCTCACTGGCTCTGAATACACATCCAGTCAAACCATGGGTCACAGGAGGGGCGGGATGTTGATCAGCCTGCAAATCAGCCACCCAAACAAGCAGCGGAGGGAGGCTTCAGCAGACTACGCCGGATGCAGCGTGTGGGAGAAGTAGATGAACAAAATCAAGACAAGCGATCAAACGCCACAGTGAAGTGGATAGCTACACATTGCATTCTGATTAGTATTAGGGAAGATGGATAGTAACCATGGCAACGGCTTCTGTGCGCTACAAAGCTGTAGCCTATTTAACTTAAGTTAAAAGTATACATAACTTTACCTGATAGGCCTTCATCTAGTTTTGCGGGGATGCTCTGCCATGCGAATTCCCTCCATGTTAACCTGTTGCTCAGAAGTTGCCTGTTATGATGTTGTGTTCGTTCACGTGTTCGTAACTTGTTTTAACAAGATAGATAAAAGGTAATACCCTGGCAGTGGCAAACAGCTTTGGTTTTATATTTGGTTTGATTACATTAATGTTTAAGTTGAGATTTACAAGAAATATTTTATTGCTGCTGTGTAAACGGAATACTGCTGGTAAAAAGCACCTTGTTTGTTTAAAGTGTTTGCAAACCACATGTTTTGTGTATATAGCAGTGCATTTAAATTACAAGTGCGCAATGCACTATGCGATTAAAAATTTGAATCGCTGCCCAGCACTAACATAAACACATAAGATGGAGAAACACACTAGAATGATACTTACTAAGCAGGATAGATGAAAATTCTACAGTGGTTCTCTGTTAGATAAATTGCTGGATGCAGTGGTGACATTTCTAAATTACATTTCTCTTTCTCATATGCCGGCTGGCAGATTTATCAGTTTAGCTCTAATCCTTAGTTCCTTTTCGGGTCAAAAATCCATTTGTGCACATTGTTTTCAGAGGTTTTCCACGATCTGTTTTGCATCAGATCCAATATTTTGGACCTGTGAAGCCCTCCACTCTTAATCCCAGTCCCCTCTGAGAACAGTCACCCTGGGCGTTATCATGACACAGTGTACTGTTTGATATTCTCAGCCTCTCTCAGTAAATCCTATGTTTGGCATAGATCTGCAGAACAAGCTTTTAACAAATCTGTCACAGCTCTCGCAACATGTATTGTTTGGTTTTGTTCCATCTGGTGTCCAGTAAAGCTTAATATAGGATTAACTTGGGGATTTGAACTTGGGTAAATTATTTTCAGTGGCATTTTATACAAAATTAATCTGTAAGAAGTTGCTGTGCTTACATTCCGGGCAGTAAAGGTATGCAGTAGTCCAATAAGAAAAGAGACAAGCTGTTATTTGAAAGTTTGAATTCTTGGCCCAGTGGGATAACCTAGCTTACTTTATTACAAAGTTCCCACGTGCTTTTGGAGGGGTTCAGTTTGTTTGAGTTTGATCTGACGGAAAGTAAATCCTGTAAAAACCTTTTAACCCATTACATTGAGAAAGAAAAGCTGTGAGCGCCTTTAAACACTACACACACACACTCACTTTGACACACTGTACAGTCACACTCAGTCAACCATAAGACAATAAATGTGCACTTGAAATTTAAATGACCTCCGTCCCCCTACATAAGCACACATACAAGCCAAACAAACGTACATCTGTGAGCCCCATTCATTCTGACAGAAGTCTTACTTATGTCATTATCTGGCCAACAGCCTGCCGTCTCTGTACCGCCAGGCTCTGTGTGTTTGCCTTCTGACAGCAATGGACACCATTCAAACAAACCCAGCTGTGGCTATATCGCAACGCTTTATCTCGCTCTTAGAAACACTAATTTGCAAAACGTCTTCGCCGACACTCCCTGAACATAATCCAGTTGGAAACCACAGGGCCTCATGGGAGCCGCTGTCAAGCTAGGAGTGATTGTGTTCGTAAACTGAATGTGAATAAATGGGAACACGGCTTTCATTGTAACAAGAACACTGCGGCAGAAATATAGAGGCCAGCTGACAGTCCTGCTCCTGTTTTTCTTCTCTGTCCCTTAGTGTTCGTGCTTCGGCTAAATGGGCTTTCTGATTTCTGTATTATTTAACACCCTTGCTCAATATTTACACTGGACGCCTCAGCCATTACTGCTGCCTGAAAAGTAAACTTCTTTCCTTACTGATTTGGTCAGCCCTGCCATGTTTATGATTATCAGTGGTGAAAAAAGTACTCAGACCTTTTACTTAAGTAAAAGTACCACAACGTAAAAATGCTCCAATACAAGTAAAAGATCTGCAATCAAAATGCTTCTGAACTACAAGAACAGAAGTATTATTAGCTAAGTGCCATCAAGTATCAAAAATGAAAGTATTTGTTCTGCAGACAAATATCCCCTGTGACTGATACTGTATGTCATTAAATTGTTGAAACATCAATGTGTAAGAAGCATTTGTACATTTTTAAACATAGTGGAATAAAAAGTACAATATTTGCCTCTGAAATGTACTATATGTATATGTACTGTAGCATCAAATGAAAAAGTACAAAAAGTGACACACACCTCAGAATTGCACTTGAATACAGTACTACACCGCTGATGTTTAGAAAAATGAAATTAGAAAAATGTAGGAGTCACTTGTTTACATTATATGCAGAAGTGTGAAGAAGTTTTAGAGCAAACATGAATTACATTTCTGACAATTTTATTTCATTAGACCAATATTAGGACCGCAGCAGTGTGTTTTAACCCATGTACTAAATATCAGCGATAAAATACATCAATGGTTACCATTTCCTCAGGCGAACCTCAATGTTTTAAGTTTTAAGTTTTCAGATGTGTATTTCCCCAATGTCAAATGCAGAAATGATGGACTATTAATGTCAAGCACGTTTTAAGCACCTACCAGATCATTTTCTGACTGCACAGAAATGAAAAGAAATCAATGGCTTTCTGACAGGCAGGAAAAACTCATTCAAAAATGTAAGATACTGTGGCATGGCTTAGGAATAGCCAACACTGACATAAAATATACTGCAAAACGTAGTTTTAATAATAAAAAGGTGCATGGCCAAATCAAAGTCATGATACTGTCGTTTCAGCCTTTCACAAACTGGATCCAGCCTCAGAGCAAACTGTGTGGGTTTTTTTTTTGTTGTGTGATCATTTACTGTTTAGATCGAAAGTTTTCCGAAAGATGAATCTGACGTGACCCGTTAAATCTGCTGTACGTGTGTCTCTAGATGTGCACACAGAGGCGGTGCAGGCGGCCCTGGCTAAGCACAAAGAGAGGAAGATGGCGGTGCCGATGCCTTCGAAGCGGCGGTCGCTGGTGGTCCAGACTTCAATGGATGCCTACACCCCACCAGGTACAGAACCAAACTCAAGTTCTGCAACAAGCACAGCCAAAATTATAACCCTTTTTGAAATTTTTGTATCATATAAAAATGTTGTGCCAGATTTCTAACTAAAGTGTTGAATGTGTTGAATGTGCTGAATGTGTTGAATGTGCTGAATGTGTTGAATGATACAGTGTTCTGCCAAATATGATGAATATTAAGTCTGGCAGCACAATGTTCATTACACACCGGGAATTAAATGCATCGGTCGGATGAAAAATGGAGAGACAACCGTCAGGCTCAGCTCTACATTAACAGATATGTTATCATTTTATTCAGTCTAAGCAGCTTTCAGCCACATTCAGAAGCACATTTTAAATTTTTATGTATGCCAAATTTTTTAGCGTTTCTTACAGTAATTATTTAACCATAAAGAGAGCAAGAGATCAGTCTGTATGATTGTGAAGCTGCTGCAGCAGGTGATGTAGCTGCAGTATTGATTTCCTCCTTGTGTCAGTGGTTTTGACCGATGACGGACTTGGATGAGCCTTCAGTGACTGAAAAGATTGTTTTCTCTGTCAAACCTGGAGATTGATAGGCACTGTGGAAATAGATCATCAATAGATCAAAAGAGTGTCAATACTGCAAGAAAAGTGGAATTACTTTATTAAACTTGCTGTAATCACTACTTTGGCATTTTAAGCAGATTATGTTGGAAACCTTGGGGAGTACATTCCTCTCATTTCTGTCATCAGTTCGGTCAGCCACAAGTTATTCATGTTCGAAACGCTAAGGTTTAGTGATACATGAGGCAGAGATTGTTCATTCTGGGTGACACTGATAAAAAAAATATTTTTTGTTCTGCTCTGATATGTGGGGATTTTTGGCTAGACAGTAAAACTTTTTCTTTTCTTTTTATTACATTTGGTTATACAGCTCTGATGCTTTGAAAACTTACAATATAAAGCCGTAACAGATTCTTTGTGGTTCAATTTAATCTTTAAATCCTTTATGAACATCTTTCTGGAGTACATTACCACAGAGTGATGTGAAAGTACAAAGTACTTTGCAAGCCTCAAAAAGTACATGACATGAATAAAACAATTTTTATACAGTCAATTAAAACCATTATACACTTATCGTTAATGTTATCACTCACTATAATGATGTTTTATTGTCTTATTTACTGTGAACACTCATTTACACTTATTAGATAGAATTATTTTATCTTCATGGTGCCTAACCAAGGCATGCTGTGTTAAACTCAGACGTCAGAAAGAAAGGGAGGTTAAAAGGATCAGAAACACTAAAACAAAATATCTAACTAATGTCAAGTTATTCTGTCAGGCACTTGATAAAAGTACCAAGTACTGGCTCCAAGAACAGCTCAGTCTGTGACAATGCTTTAGACACTAAAGGACTGAAAATCTACAATTTCTCCTGACCTGGCAACATTGCTGACACTTAACATGTCGTGGCAACAACCCTGACCTCTTTCCACATCTATACGATCACATTTTTGAAGTTATAGAGCTATAAAAATGAAACTGCAGGATTCATTCTTGTAACTCTGTAGTCACAGATCGGATCTCCACTTCTGAACCAAAACCTGCTGCCTGCTCCTCTGACCTCTCTGATGAACATTTGAAATGCCTAAGATAGTTATCACTTCTGCTAAAATGTGCACCGGACACATCACGCAGTTGATTTCATCCCTGTTGTGTGTGAAGCAGGATCTGTCCGGGGCGGGTGGCGGTGGCAGTCATGCGTGTCTTTATGGCGCTGGCGTCGTTTAATGAGGGTGTTAATGAGGCCATTATTTCTCTGGCTGAAGGGTCGAGCTTCACAGAGCTTCACTGAACTAGGCATGATTTAGAATAATGGCACAGAGAACAAGTGTGCAGCAGCCAAAGATTAGATATGAGTCTTTTAATGGATCAATCTGTGCAAACGCCGCTCCCTCATGATACTTTTTCAAATTGTAAGATTTTCTCATGAACGCCTGGAAAACATATGTTCGGTGTCATATTTTAGGACAATCTTCTTCTCATTTGCCTTCCCTCAATCTTACCTTCATCCCACTTTTTCTGTCAATCCCTTTCCCTCTCTCCTACTCTTCTTCCATCTGTCGTCGCATTTTCACTCTCCTTCCTTCTAAACCTGCTTCAATTCAAACAAAACTAGAGGGAGATGGCTGTGCTCTGATTTTCACCACATTGCAATCTAAGTGACATTTTATTCAGTTATTACTGGAGAATAACCTCAGAAATAGGGGTTGTGTGTTTGATCAAACCTGCATCAGTATTGAAACTGAAACTCAAATCTTTCCAAATCTCTGACCGTGTAGCTCTCAAGAATTTCCAATTTGTAATATTATGTAAAATGTAAGAACAGAAACTCAAACATGTACTTCAAAGGAATCACAGTTATGCTCAATGAATTGTAATTTGTAGCCCGTTCATGCTACACACAAAGAACATGTATAGCCCAATACAAATCACAATTTAGAATACCGTAAAATAAAACAATATATACTGTTATTTACATATTTACCTATACATGTATACGTAGAGTAATAATTCTGATTATTCTGATTCGGTGTTTCTCAAACTGAGGGGTGTAGAGCCACTTCACGGCGTTTGTGGATGTTGAGGACCAAAGTTGCATGAATATGATTCATATGGTGACATAAACAAACAGAAAATGCTGTGATGCTAGCAAGGCTCTTTATTTACCTGAATCTTGTTTATTTCAATCATAAACGTTGCTCAAACTGGAAGAAATTAAGCATTTGTTGGGGACTATATTCAGCGGCGGATTAATCCACATTTGTTGCTGTGGAGTGAGTATTTGGGGCAGCAGAACAGTGTAAGTAGGAACATGCCACCCAGTGCATCAATGAGGCTCACTGATGTGCTTTAAATATTTTTTGATCAACAGTGGAGCTCCATGGCACAGAGGATCAGGCTGTGATACACACACAATACTTGTTAGTATATACATTCAGCGTTGATTTTGGTCTTTTCCTGATATAGACTTAGTCTTTAACAAATCCGAGTATTTTAGCAATTCAGAACCAAATCCAAAATCAAACTGGCTATCAAATTGGAGCTCTTGTCAGATAATTATCACGTTAAGTGTCTCTGCTATTTTGTCCACCTCTAATCACCTCTGCAGTGAGCAGAATGTGTAAATATAGTTCATAAATATAACTAAATAAATAATCTATTTATAGACAAACATACAATTAGTAATAACCACCAACTTAAATCATTCATAAATGTACTTAAACATTTATTGTAGATATTCATTCTACACACACAACGCATTCATATGCAGCTTAAATGTATACTGTAAAGGCACATTAGACAGAGTAGTACTGCATGTACATGTATTTACATGATATAAGACTTTTTTTTGCTATTTTACACAAAGCAAAATACATAAGCTGCGAGGGAATCACACACTCACACATGACACACAGAAAGGCACACAGTCCGTCAGATTTAGAAAGCACGTGTCCTCAGGGAGCGGTAAAAGCAGCCGCACACACACACACACACACACGGCTGTCTGTGTGCCAGTGAGGTTCATCGGAGGACAGCAGAGTTGCGTGTTGCCGAGCAGCATACAGTATCGTGCAGAGATGACAAGCAAGTAAAAACTCTGATGAGCCCTTATTGGATTTTGAAAGATTTTTACAGCTGCATTTTCTCAATTTCTCAATAAATCAAATATATTTCAGCTTTATGAAGAGCTGCTTTGCATCAGGGACTATCTCTCTCTCTCTCTCTCATCTCATTGTATGTTTGTGCGTGTTTATTTCATGAGATTGCCAGGTTGCCTGGCAGCATCTCATTTTCGTCAACATGTTTGTGTTTTGTCACTGGTAGACTCCACAGAGTCCTGCTGATAACGAGACACACATTTGCCAATCAAGCATGTCAGCAGACCACTATGGTAGTTAACATGTCACGGCCGCTTCTGGTCCCATGGCATTTTAAACTAACATGCAAATGTCAGTTTTGATCTATGGCTAACGAGAAGTGTCACCTTTTACAGTTAAACAAGGAACAAGCTTTTTAAAACTTTGTCTCTTAGGAAGAGGAAGCCTGTTTGCATTGGGGGCTGGGGATTGTCCTGTTTTCATGTTTATTTTGTAAATGGACTTTTTGAATAAAAGAGTAAAGTTGAGTCAAATTGATCCACATGCACAGATCATTGCCTCTGATGCTTCACAGCAGAAAAGAGACGCCTTCTCATTTTGTCATAAAAACACAGTTGTTGATTCTCGATATACTTAAGAAACTCATCTTTACTTCAGGACACCTGCTGTATAATGTAAAGGAGATGTTCACCATATCAACTTTATAGGGTGATATTAGGTCAGTGTAGTTTACAGCTTGTTACGTTGCCTCAAAGTGGCCAAAACATTTTAATGAATGCAATTAAATGAATACATTAATCTTTGAGCTGTTAACGCAGTTGTGAACAGTTTATATAGAGTATACTATTGTTAGAAAACTTCACCATCAACAACCCCAAATGGACAGCACGTTCTTATCCCTCTGGTACCTTCCATAGTATTACAAAGCCAAGTGATGGTATTTCTGAGCCAGCTTGGCACAGAGCCACACCCTCTGACCACCTCCACCACCATTTTGGTTCATTTTCAGATGTGTGTACTAGGTGGGGACATCCTGATTGGGGGTGTTTCATTGTTTCATTACTCTTTAAATGGCAAAAATAGTTAGTTGGATTGCAACAGGGTTCTAATGATTAAAACTAGTTGAACGCCAAGGCCAAATTGTATACTCATCTTCCCATATCAGCTATATGACCTCATTTGTTTTTTTTAATTGCAGTGAGCTAAGTGTCCAGTATTCAGTCTGTGTGTGTGTGTGTGTGTGTGTGTGTGTGTGTGTGTGGGAACTGGGTCAGCTTCTGTTGTTATTCGTATCACCACTATCAGGCTCACAATGCCATGAGCATTATGAAAATCACATGCAAAACATGTGCATACACACACACACTCTCACACATGCACAGATACCCCCCCCCCCCCCCCCCCCCCCCCCCCCAACCCCCGTGGCAGCTCTAAACAGAAGGGAACTTCCAGGCGGCAGACAATAGACTAGGTCATACATAGAACCTACTTTTCTTTCTGTCTCTAAATATAGTATAAAAACATCAATCATTTTGTCTGCGGTTTAATTAAATCTTTCATTGTCCTAAAAAGAGTTCACCATTGTTGCTTATGTTATTGTTGTCTTTCAAGTCTTTATCATATTTATTTATTCTTCTCTTCCACATCCATCTATTTTCTCCCTCAGATACCTCTTCAGGCTCAGAGGGTGAGGGTCAGGGCGACGGCGATGAGGAGGGAGGAGGTGACGGCGAAGAAGAGGATGGAGGAGGTGGCGGGGGAACTTCGTCCAGCCGGGAGGGGAGCATCAGCATGGATCACTGGATAAGCAGGGCCATCCACGGCACCTCCTCCACCACCACTACCACCTCCTCCACGGCCTCCTCCTCCTCTTCCTCCACACGCAGCGGAGGGAGCGGGGCAGCGGGTGGCAGGCTGGCTGACGTCCTGGCCCAACACGTCCACATTTCCGCCCACCACCACCTCCGCCACCACCACCGTCACCACCACCACAAGACGGGTAAGGATTAGCTTAGGACTGAGCAGTGACATAACTGCCTGGATGTCCCTAATTATAGAGTGAACCATCACACCTTTAACCAAATTGTGACACTTTTTGTCAAATACAGACATATTTAGAAAAGTCCAGCCTCCCTCTGTAAAATACATACACCTTTTAATAAAATACATATTCCTTTAGCAAAGGACAAGGGTGTCCAACGTAAAGCACCCTTAGCCAAATACAGACACTCTTCTATTCACCTTCTATTCTATTCACCCATTCAAATCTATTCACCCTAAGCAAACTCCAGATTACTTTAGCAAAATGCTGAGGTTGTTAAGAAAAGCCAGAGACTCTTATCTACCGAAACAGCCCAGTATCAAGAAGTATCGAAATGTCTCCTGTCAAACTAGTACTTCAATCGATACTTTTTGTAATCAGATTGCGGCAAAAAAAATATTTGTATGGTTTTGCTTGCAGCCAAACACACAAGCAACACACTGAAAGAAAGAGAAGAGCACGCTTTTTTGTCCTTATGTGCCTGCACAATAAAATGTATTAAAAAGGCTGCAGCGTCGAGTCCATGCCTGATTCTAACAGCCGCTCACCTTCGGCTGTGGTCTCTGGCATGTTCGTCACTGTTGCAAGATCATCAAGATCAAGATCACTCACTGCGTTTCATCACCTCAATTAAACGCTTGTGTGGCGCAGCAGCGATCAGCTGATTTTACTCACAGAGCCTCCGGCTGCTTCAGGTGTAGCTGGTTTGATCGGCTGGACGTGCAGCCTCTCTTTTCCTCTGTTTGTGAGTCTTTAGTGTAGTCTAGTGACAGACTCCTTACTCGTTTTATACTTGTGACTGTAGGAGGAGGTTTGCGACTCAATAAAGGAAAAAGCACTCGCGGAGATTTCAATTCAGTTTATTGATTGAAAGTTCACAAAATATTTTTACGTTGTTTACTTTCAACACACGTGTCAAAAAATTACCACAACATATTTGTTGACTAAACTATTTCACTCCTCTTCTCTCTTTTAAATATAAAAAAATTGCAAGCTCCTGTCTTTCCCCGTATAATAATACCTGTGAGGATGGACTAATTAGGATGATCCCAATACTTTTATGTAAAAAAATAAACAAACAATAGATCACCTTGCTTGTCCATAACAATAAAAAAAAAAAAATAGGCTACCAATCAACTGCTATGGCTTCAACAGGTGGCATTTTATGCAAGGTATCGAATGAAGTACTCTATTGGTATCGGTATCACTTTAAGGATACTGGGTTTGGTACTGGTATCGGAAATATTTTAACATTTCCAACGCTAATCAGGACCATCATTTACTTTTTGCAAACTCCAGAAAACTTGAGCAAAAAGAAAGCAACTTCTGAATATCTTAGCAAAGTCCCAACATCCGTTGACATCTCTTAAGACCCTAAGCCAGATCTGTATCTAGATTTGGCAAAGAACAGTCATTCTCAGCCAAATACAACTTCCTTAGCATAATACAGACTCTTTTAGCAAATGCCAGAGACTCTTAGCAAAGGCTTGCCGCATTTAGCCAAATCCTTCAGTCAACTTGAGCTCCTTAGCAAACTCTAGACAACTTAACCAAACTTTCATATCTGTTCTGAGTTATCTGAAGGCTGTTGAAGGTGTTCAGATTTTGTTACTGTTACAGTTAGAGATGACGTGTGGAGTTGACAGTTGTGCGTTCTGACTTAAGGTTACTGACAGCTCATTGTATATTTGTGAGCACAAGTTATGTGCTAAGTTTTAGGAGGTTTAAGTTGAATCAAAACTAACTAAAATGGACAAACATTAAGGGGAGAGGAAAAGTGGAGTAGGAGAAGGTTTATTCGTAGCACAATTCAAACACTGAGGCAGTTTTAAAGTGCTTTACATCCACTTTAAATTTTAAAGAATTATGTCACAAAATAATCAAAGGCAGTTTTGCATAAAGAAGATTGTTAAAGTTAATTACTCAGTGTCAAGGTGCTCCACCTCAAATTTTGTGAGAAGACAACATTAAAAGAAAATATATGTTTAAATAAAAAATTATCTAGTATGAATACTATCTATCTCAAATATGGAGTGTTATTGCAGTCCTCCATGAACATTTTTCTGAATTATTCCTTTGGATTCCTTTGACAAAGTGTGTAATAATATACCGTATTGACTGAAAAGCCCCTGATTTTTAACACCACAGACCACCAGCTGATAACGTTTTTGTATCAGGGATCATCATCCAAAAGGATCTCTTATGAGTAAAACCTTTCATATACTGTACATTTATGTGTGCTACTTTCAGCTTCTTAAGAATATATACTGTGCACTTAAAATATTCCAAATTTTGTTTCCTCATAAGACCACGTGGAGGTCCCTGAATCCCAGTTTGGAAACAAGGCTGAAAAACTGCAGCAGAACTTCAAAGCTTGTCTGATTTGGCCTTTAAATAAAGCAACTATCCTTGAGTTTATTTAGTTGTGGTTATTAGTTAGTTTGCTTTTAGAGGTTTCTAATGAAGGTGTATGTGGCTGGGAGGACTGTGTGTGTGTGTGTGTGTGTGTGTGTGTGTGAATAGGAGGGGGGATCTTTGAAGTTTAAATATGTGAACTGGGGTTTGGTTGTAAAGTGTGTTTAGCTGCAGGGTCGTAGCCTAAATTTTAACGTGTGTCTGCTTCCTGTGATAACTGTGGTCTGTGTGTTCTATCTGTCCTACTATCTCTTATATGTCTGACATGTCTAAAATTACTAAAGTAATTCTGAAAGTATCTCTGCTATCACCAAAAACGTAATGTTGCTTTTTGCTGCTGCTCAATTTTTTGGCATTTTCTATTTTTATTTCTATTTTTACATTTATTGAAACTGAAACTATGTTTCACAAATGTAATTTATTGTAAGTTCTTTTCTTTTTTTTGAGTTTGAAGAAGGACTACCTTTTTAACAATGCTATATGCAATTTGTCCATTTCTTTCCTCTTCAAAAAAACCATTGCCTTTTTTTGTTTTGTCATGACAATATTATATATTGTTCTCTGCAATCTGCAATCTACAATCTTATTTATGATATTTTGTCACTTTCCTGTGAAAACCATGGATTTTTTAAAGAGCTGTATGCGACATTCACTGCCACTAAATGTTGCACTAGAGCACCAGCATCTCAGACCCAAACAAGTAGGCTCCATTGAGAAAAACAGTAATGTATCTCGCAGTTCATCGTTAAAACACACTTTATAGCAGAGCTTATTTATAATCGTATTATAAAAACAAGACATTTTCACTCAGTCACAGAAAAAATAAGGTAACAACACTGCACATATCGTGACAGTTAATGCATGTGGTGATTGTGAGATATTTGTCTTGCACCAGTTCCCTTTAAACTATAGTCTGGAGGATTTTTAAAAATTCATTAAAACTAACCAGAGGACAGCTTATGAACTCCTTACCACACACCGTCTTCCTGCGAGGCTCAATGGGCAGAGCGCGGCACCAACACTACAGCAGGGTGGAAGTTTTTTACCAACTGGTTCTAAACATACAGTACACACATAAAAGTGAAAAACTGGCCTGCTGCTGTCACAGAATCCTGTTTGTGCCTTTCCCCACTGTTTGCTGAGGTAGCGTCGTGACTAAATGCTCCGGTGGCGACAGGTTTGTTTTCATGCTGGCACTGTTGGTATCCAGCTCTGAAGATAATGCATGGACAGACACAGAGAGAGCCCCTGCCAGCTCCTCCCAGCCAGCGTTCAGCTCCTTCGCTGCTCAGATTTGACAGGAGAGGTTCTGTGCACGCTGTTGGTTAGCTGTTTTTTGGGCCCGCTTCCACTGATTTGCCTGTGTCACTGTTCCCTGCAGTCTGAAATGAGCAAAGTCAGAAGGATGTTTCTGGGGCGAGCAGCCGCTAAAGGTATGTGGGCCTCGGCAAAACGGCATTCAACCTGGTTCAAAGACAGAGAGAGATATTGGAAGGAAACTTGTTTATTTCAGCAGTCATAGGTAGGTGAAAAGTTAAATGGAGCTGTCTCTATTTGGCATTTTGAGCTGAAATCTACCCATGTGCATCTTAAAATGACTTCATATATTGCATATATAGCTGCAATAAGAAACCTGAGCGATAATCCTGGAATCTCATTCTTGACTTTTGGGGAAGAGTATAAGCTCAAAGGTCTACAAGGCTTCCTGAGCCTAATGCCACCAGACTACTGAATATCAGTCTTATAATAACTTCAGTGACACAATGCTGCAATGACCTAAGCCAAGTGTGAAACATTTTTTTGCAATGAAAACTAATTTACTTTATAATCCTATGATTACGTAATCTGACACAGTGGCCATCTTAAATGTAAAACAAATATCATGGGGCTGATGTCCACTGACTCCTGATCGAAGAAGGTTTTGGTTTGGTGTTCACTAACTAACCAAGTCATTTGCACTCTAAGCAGACAAAATGTACATTTGGTGTTCAGTCACGGTCTTTCGTCCACGGCCCTGGGCAGCCTCTTTGGTTAGAGTTTATAGTTTGGTTCATAGATTTTTCACAGAAAAGTATAATAGATACATCACATGATGTTGTACATTTTTTCAATTGACATAAAGTTTCATTGTTTTACTGAGGTCATGTTTATCACAGAGGAAATCCTCCGCGTTGTGCACACGTGTGGGTTACAGCTCTGTTTTTCTTTTCCTTGTTCAAGGCCAAAGCAGCTCAGGTCTCAGTGTTTTCAGTGTGTGTGTGTGTGTGTGTGTGTAAATACTTAAGGGAGATCGTTTTCCGTATGGCTTCATTCCAGGCTTGCTTTTCATTCAGCTCTTATCAGCTCTGCTTGCTCGTGCAGATAACTTTTTGTTCCCTCTCCCCAATTTGTCCTGACTCCTTTCATCCATCCACAACTCCTGCAGGTTGCAGATCCCTTTTATGGGGTCATTGCAGACAATCTGTTGTTATGGTTGACTTTTGGCAGAGTTTAGGTTCAATAGAGAACATTGTGTTTGTGTCACTGGGTTCAGATAACAGCGC